GGGCCAATAGTATCAGTGTTGCCAAGCTGCTTCAACCGGTAGTTTCGGTTTCGCCGTGCCGCCGGACCGATTCTTGCATTCGCGATATCTACAAAACTATACACACTACCGAAAGACAAATTATATCTCGTGATTCAGGGTCGCCGGCTTCGACTAAACAGATCATAACCCAAAAATTGTAAAAATGGAGTGGAGTTGCCCTTTAAGGAAGGAGATTTCGTAATTACATATGAACATTCACCGCCACGGCAGGGTTGGAGCACGGACCGTGTTGTCAAAACTTGCACTGGGCACGATGGACGCCTGCGGTCATGCGCAATAAGGCTCCCCATTGGAAAGGTCATTAAACGACCAGTCCAACTTCTGTATAAAGTCTGTGAACTAATGAGCAACTGTATGCTCATTGCGGGGGGGGGGGGGGGGGGGGGATGTTTGTAGAATATATTGTCACGAAGAAAACTAGGTCGTACCCCGCACCTCCACCACTTTTGTAACGAAAAAAATAATAGGTGCCTTCTTCTCCGTTGATGAAAGATGCTGATATTAACAAATACAACTTTTTATTTAAGTGATAGGATATAAAATCTTTACAACAGATATGGCCAATTCGTCATTAAATGTTGGGGGGAACAATCCCAACCCCTGGAAACTTTCCCTGCCGTCCTCCCTGACCACACACACCCTCAGCGGGGGCCCCGACCACAGCCAAACTCGACAAACACAGTTCCACACAAAGGCGGGCGAGCCGAACTCCTCCACAGCCGTAAGGGGGACCAAGTTTGCGAGCTAGCGGGCGGACGGCTCCACAGCCGAAGGGGGGTCGGACGTGCAGGTTGGCTTCCAGAGGCAGGGAGATGTTCACGGCATGGTATCCGGGGGCCAAGCGCCTTACGGCCCTTCGGTGGCCGCTTATATTGGGTTCAGCAGCATTCTGGGGTCCTTCAGTCCACCAATCAGAAAGTTTGGGAAGGACCAATCAAGAGGGGTTTTCTTAGAGCCAATCAAAGGCTCGGAGCCCAAAGCAAATACGAACATTCCAAAAAACATGCGCATACACGAGACAGAACACATTCCAAACGAAGCTGACAAGAGCAGCCATAAACAACAGAAAGCACTTCCGTACGCAGACAGAGAAGTTACACATACACAGCGCAAAACCACCTCCGAAGTAGAGATCCCAAATGCAAACATACACAAGACAAAACGTTTCCAACGCGGGGTTCTGTAAACTATAAGTGTAGTGTTACAGCGTTCCCGTTCTCCCCCATTTGGGGTCCCCCGACCCCGGCGGGTCCATATCACAAGAGCGAATGACATCCCAGCGAACGGCGACATTTGAGCGAACGCTCGTCCTAGCGAATAACGGGGGCGCGCGTTAACCCATCCGTCGCGCTGCGCTTTACGCCGCTTCGCGGCGACAGTCTGCGGCAACTCATTACAAAAATATGAACTCACTTGGCCCACCCGAAAACGCCGCTTCGCCGCGTCCGACCATTCGCCAAAGTGTCGTTCGATGAAACGTGGGCGTTCGCCAAAACGTCATTCGATCAAGTGAGTGCCTCCCGACCCCGGCAGAGGCCATGAGCCGTGCCGTAAAGACGAGTGAACCCCCGAAGAACGCCAAAACAAAGTAAAGCTGTAGACAAAAAACTCGCGCGAGCAAAACTTCGCGACAATATTTTTACGGCGTTGTTTATTCGGCCAAACCCCGTGGCCCTGCGTTCCAACAAACGAAACGAACGTCGCGAAACGAAAACAAGCCCTCGTTCGGGCATCTGCGGTCACTGGGCCCCGGAATGTTAGGGGCCATAAAACGGAGGGGCTCCCCGCTCCTTTCCGCTCGGAAAGATATACAACGCATCGTTTAACACCCTACCCCTCTCTCCCCCCTTTGCTGCTGCTCTCTTTCCATTGCCTGTTTCAGCGACTTCACCCTTTGTACTTCTACAAAAAAAAAAAAAAAAGAGCAGTGTTCTTTTCTCAAAGAAATGTATCGGAAGCTTCCTGACGGTCTCTAACGAACGCTATCATTTTAAAGTTAACGTAAATCATTCTATTTGAGATAAGTTCCCACAGCACCTGTGCAGTCCCGTTGGGGAGATCGGAACCAGCAGAAGAATGAGCTGGTGAGTCAACTGTGGACCTTACAGGGCGGAACGTTAGGTGACGCCACCAAAAAACTGGGCCGTGAGCGGGACAAAAAGACAGCCGCACTCAAGGGAAAAAGAATCCTGGCAAAGAGAAGTCTCTGGACGTTCAACAGGTACGAGGTGATTCGAGGCCTGCGAAGGACGGCCATCGTTTCAGGTGTCACTTTTGCAAAAGGTGTGCTGATACTATCGTCCCCAACAAGGGAGTTCCTGGAGAGTGGGGAGGATAGCGATAGCGGTCACAAAAGCAGTGCCCAACGAGGGAGTCCAGGGGGACCTGGGCTGGTCTACATTTGAGAAAAGTCGGATCCAAGGCGAGCTACGAAAGCCGTTTGTATACGGATTGCCGGAGGAAAGCTAGGCTCAACGCACGCTGCGCCACATCGTATACAGAGAGAGAGAGCCATCAAGTGGACCCAACGCGTGCAAAGACTGCGGTAGCGCTACGAATTTCTGGCGAACTGGCTGGAGGGTGTAGGGAGGTGCAGAGTTAAACCAGCAGAGCTCCGGGAAACCATTCAGGCGGCAGATACCGGAAGGTGGACAGCCAGAATGGAGACCGAACCTCACAGAAAAGAAAATCATCGAGAAGGAGACGGTACGACAGCTCGAGGGGTAGTGGGCTTCTCGCGCAGGTCCGAATGGGGACCCTACGAACTCGGGTCTGGAGAGCCAAGTTCACCGAGGGACAGGAGAGGGTCTGCTCGCTTTGTGAAGTAACCGAGGAGACGATAGAGCACTTGATACTACGATGCCAGCATATCGGGTCGAAGCCTCTGACGACGACCTTGTCGATCGCCCAGGGTTTCCAGAGCGACGGCGGAGAACAAGAAACGCCCGAGGGACTGGATGAACAGAGGGAGCGATTGGAGTGGCAACGGAAGGACATTTGCTTAACAATGGATGTGACGAAGAGATGACTGGAAGGAGACGCAACGGCGGGGGAAGAGCACACATAAGTCACCCGATCGCAGACACAGACGGAAGAGACAGCGGAAGTGGCGACCACTGGCTAAATCCAGAATCCAAAGTTCTGTGCTCACCCGCCCCAATGGGGAAATCAAAGAATCCAATTCAATCCAAGGGACACGAAGCGTGTGATGGGGGTCCGAGTCCCCGCTGACCGCTAACACGACGCTCGTTTTTGAGCTCAGCCGAGTTCATGCCGCACGCTGACGAAGCATGCTCAGAGTAGGCTCGGTCGATTTACCTGCACTTCCTCCGCCGGTGCAGAAAAGTGTAGGGTGGTGTACCTCCGTTCGTGGATCAATACACATACCGGAGGTACAATGCCGTACACTTTTCTGCACCGGTGCAGGAGTTGCGGGTGAATCGAACGAGCATGGGACCGAGCAATGGCGGACGGGAGTAGGCGCGGACTTTTGAAAAGGGTCTATTCCTTGGGAAAAACCTTACGAAGAACCGCCACTTCGATTTCCTCGATAAATTTAGCGGGAAAATTGTTGTCACATATGTAAAATTTTCCACTAAATTCAGCGGGGAAATGGGCGTTCCGTGATCACGTTATGTGACTATATGGTTATGTGACCGAGTCGTGTGGTCAATTTTCCCACTAAATTTAGCGGGAAGATTGGCGTCCCGTGACCCGGTCATGTGACCAAGTCACGCGACGTTATGTGTCCTCGAGTGGTGACGTCAATTTGCCTGCTGGGGATACGTCGTGTTACCTCGAGTCACGTGAGGTCAATTTCTCCGAGGTGGTTCTGCGAGTCTTAGCTTAACATATATATGATATATATACTGCCCTCCCAGGTCTTGATAGCACGATCGAGCTTGTGTAATTTCTTGTTCTCTTCCTTCTACCTTCGCGCGTGTTGCTTCGGCGAGGAAAATTGCTGCCTGGTTGGAAGTTGAGAAATGATTGTAGATTTCGTGTTATACGTTTCGCAAGACGGCGGTATGTCCAGCGGCAGTGTTTTGCTGTCCCGATGCTACCGACTCGGCTGCGTTCGGTTCCTCGGCGGGACGACTTTGTGTGACTGATGAGCGGCTTATCGTGTTCGCAATTCGAGGAAACCGGTCTAACGAAACCGAGGAGAGAAAAGGTTTGACGTCGCGGGTTATTTTCTCCCCTTTCCCCTCAGCTGTCGCGAGGAGATAGCGAGCGGCAGCCTCTGTACTATTTTCCTTCCTTCTTACCTGCCGTCCACTCTGGCTCCGTTTCTGTTCGCCGTTGGGCGCCTTTGGGTATGTACATTTTGCTGTGCTTATAGTATCGAAGCGGATTTTACATTAGTTATCGATAACGAAGGCGAACTAATGCGTTTAAAAGAACACAGAAAACAAAAACAAAACAAAGCACGAAGGAAACACCCCACAGAAGTGTCGTGCTTTTTTTTTTTTGTGTGTGTTTTTGTTCTTAGTCTCGGTTTTTTGTACAGACGAAGGTGATGTCTGCTGGTGGCGAGACAAGAAAACCGTCTATAGTCGCTGCTGACTGCTTAATAAATGCGGGGAGTGGCCTATTATGATAAGCAGGCGTCTTGCTTCGTGATTGTTTCATCGGCGGTCTTACCGGCTAATTCCGTGATATCATTGGCTCCGGAGAGATAATGAGATGCCAAAGCTCGCCATGTTTCTCTCCCCCCCCCCCTTTTTTTTTTTTG